TAATTGAACAAGGAAGGCGTAAAAAGGTGTTATAAATTCAAACATTCCACTGCGAACGATAATTGTCTCCCCCATGAGTGTTAGTAAGAATAATAACTTTAATTTACAAACGTTTTCTCGAAGCAGTTTGTACAATGCCGTCATTCAGAGAGATCCATTTGATAGCGTTGTCCCTTGGGGGATGAATAATAAATGCATAAATGAGTTTTATATATATGTATATATATATATATGTGTGTGTGTGTGTGTGTGTGTGTGTGTGTGTGTGTGTGTGTGTGTGTGTGTGTGTGTGTGTGTGTGTGTATACATATATATACACACATTTTGTTTAGATATCCACTCATTTATATTTATAGCACATGGGTAAAGCACTTGTTAATAAGTAAAGTGACACGGAAAAAAATGAAGGGCTTTTCCAGGGCTCTAATGCAACATCTGCAATGCATAATGTTTAATGACCTGCTACATGTCATTTAACGTAAATGTTTTTATATAAGTCACTTATTATCATCGCTGTTCGTGTAAGAATTATCGAATAGTGATCAGTGACTCAAATATTATCATTATTATCATTCTTTATCCTTATAATTATCAGTCTTATAATTACCACTGTCACTTTATAAGCAATGTTAAAGAATAACCAATAGATCCAATGACCTATGACCTAAGATGCGGCAAAAAAGGTCAGGCGATACTTGAATGAAGTCAGAATGAAATTGACCAAGGAACAAAACAATGAAAAACGTGAATGATGTGACGATAAAACTGCATATAAAATAGAGTTATCGATGAAGCATATGTCGCAAGCAAGTACTAAACTCGACCTTTATCAAGTTCAAGTATCACTTCTTTTTTTACTAATCTATCAACGCTGTATACTGAACAGAGGATAGTACTTTGTTGTACTACAGTTGGTGTGTCATATGAACGCTAATATGAATTTGGTTAAACCCCTGACGTAGAAAAAGAACTTGGTTAGAATACTGGCATAGAAAGAGAACTAGGATAGACTACTGGCATATACTCTCTCTCTCTCTCTCTCTCTCTCTCTACACACACACACACACACACACACACACACACACACACACACACACATATATATATATATATATATATATATATATATATATATATATATATATATATATATATATTTCTGTGTGCGTGTGTATGTGTGTTTGTGTTTGTATGTGTGTGTGTTGTGTGTGTTGTGTATGTGTGTGTGTGTGTGCATGCGTGCGTACCTGTGTGTGTGTGGCTCCCCATACCAGTGGCGCATATAAATATATATATATATATATATATATATATATATATATATATATATATATATATATATATAAAATATATATATATATATGTATATATATATAATATATATGTATATATATATGTATATATATATATATATATATATATATATATATATATATATATATATATATATATATATAAAAGAATAATAGAATTGAAATGAATTAATAATAATAATAATTATATAAGATATATAACGCAGGGATCCTAAATCACGTTAAGGTTAAGTGAACTAAAAGCAACTTCCAGATGAAATTGCGGAGTAAATGACTTACGTTAGAATCATAAATAAAAAAAAGAAAGAAAAAAAAGTCCATGGCAAAAAAGAAAAAAAAATCACTTAACAACGGCAGAATAAACCGTGCTTCTGCAAGAAAAGAAGAAGGAAAAAAAAACTATAATAACAACGAATAGAATAACACGTTGAATTGAACATTATTGCAAAACAAAAACAAAAAAAGTACTAAATATAAGAGCAAACATTCCCAAGTCCTGAGGGAGCAATAGAAAGAGAGAGAGAGAGAGAGAGAGAGAAAGAGAGAGAGAAACGAAACTAAAAATATGATATATAACACTCTCGATCATGCACAGTTCCTTAGAACACTGAAATGAAATGAATCTCATAATTTAACTTAAACTTACACTTCCAGACGTGTTTTCAAGTCGAAAAGGGATCGTAACACCATCGTTGACTGCAGTAGACTGAGTATTTAGTGGGGTTTTGGTTCATTATATACACAGTGTGACGTCATACCACACATAATGGAAAATATTTAAAACAAAATCTAATTCCATTGAAGAAACAAGATGTTATATACACAGAAGTAAAAGACCGTCACAGAGGACCAGAGAAACGTCACAAGAGAGCAGAGGAACAAAGGAATGCCACAGATGAACAGAGGAACATCACAGAGGGACAAAAAAATTACATACATGAAGAGAGAAACGCCACAGACAAACATATAGCCACACTAGAAGCATGCAGGACTTACTCAGGGGAATAAATGAACGCCACAGAAGAACAGGGGAACAAAGGAACGCCACAGAGGAATGCATGAACGCCACAGAAGAACAGGAGAACAAAGGAACGCCACAGAGGAATGCATGAACGCCACAGAAGAACAGGGGAACAAAGGAACGCCACAGAGGAATGCATGAACGCCACAGAAGAACAGAAGAATAAAGAAAGGCCACAGAGGAATGAATGAACGTCACAGAATAACGAGGGGGAATAAAGGAGAATACGGAAAAACAACGTAAAGTTTAGAAGAATGCAGCAACTCCACGGGGAAATACATAAACTCAGCTCACGATCGATACATAAACTCAGGTTCTCAAGATCAAAGTATGGCAAGGTAGCGGAAAATGGCTAATGATATATAAATCCATGGCGATTAAGTGCTCGAAAAACATAATTTTACTCACCCTGCTGTTTCGAGTTCACTAATTAAGGTTATTTCAGGTATGCTTAAACAGTTCAGTTCATACATCACTAATGGGTGTTTTTTTGCGTATCTATTCGCCGTCTAAATGGATTGTGCCGTGAATCATTGATGTGTAAAGAGAATAGAAAGTTATTTTCTAAAAGTGTATATAATTGTTCCTTTGTTGTTTATGGATACAAAGATACTTGTATATGTACTTTGTATCTCTCTCTCTCTAATATATATATATATATATATATATATATATATATATATATATATATATATATATATATATATATATATATATATATATATACTTGTATATGTACTTTGTATCTCTCTCTCTCTAATATATATATATATATATATATATATATATATATATATATATATATATATATACATATATATATACATATATATATATATATATATACATGTATACATATGTATATAGTTGCATATATATATATATATATATATATATATATATATATATATATATATATATATATATATATATATATATATATGAATGAGGAAAACACTCTACCGTGTTGATACTATGGTAGAGAAACCCACAATGTAAAAACTAGATTTATTGAAAATGAAAGTGAGACGACAGTTTCGGAATCCACCTGGATTCCATCCTCAGGTCTGAGGATGGAATCCAGGTGGATTCCGAAACTGTCGTCTCACTTTTATTTTCAATAAATCTAGTTTTTACATTGTGGGTTTTTCTACCATATATATGTATATATATATATATATATATATATATATATATATATATATATATATATATATATATATATATATGTATATATATATATACATGTATACATATGTATATAGTTGCATATGTATATATATATATATATATATATATATATATATATATATATATATATATATATATATATATATATATATATATATATATACATGTATATATATGTATATATATGTATATATTTACATATATACATATATACATATATACATATATATATATATATATATATATATATATATATATATATATATATATATATATATACATATATATATATATATATATATATATATATATATATATATATATATATATATACATGTATATATATGTATATATATACATATATATATATGTATATATACATATATATATGTATATACACACACACACACACACACACACACACACACACACACACATACACACATGAACATGAATATCCTTCTTAATTTATACACAATCTAAATATTTGTGCTTCATTTCCAAGAGCGCACGGAGACACGACATTAGTTTTAATGGGCGTCAAGTGTGTACATGAACCAAACACTAAATTAACTCTTCACAGATATTTTAGGAAAAAAATCAAAGCCAATTTTTCGTTTTTTTTTTTTTTTGGGGGGGGGGGAATGAGGATTATAGATCTCATATCTTTAACAGGTCTTATCTAAATATTTCGTCAACATGATAAATACTTCAGTTATCAAAAATTAGACATACGTTTTCAATTCGCAGAACCTTTCCTTGAAAATATAGAAATACGTTGGAATATGTATAAACGTGAAGCGTAGTTGTTTCATCGTTAGCAATAAAATAAATAGTTTGTAGATTTTATATACTTAGAAACTCTTTTTTTATATAAAATTAATTCATCTTCATTCTCCTTCTCTCTTTCACTCTCTCACTCTCTCTTTCTCTCTCTCTCTCTCTCTCTCTCTCTCTCTCTCTCTCTCTCACACACACACACACACACACACACACACACACACACACCGTCAATCATTAAACCCACCTAAAAATTATAATGAGTAAAACTAAATAAAAGTGATCAATTCCGGGAACTATGACAACATTATCAAAAGCTCAGAATCTAATTAGCTTACCTCGAAACGCAATTCGAGAACCCGTGAATTTCGATAAATATGCAGTTCCAATTATAAACTCACCCCCATGAATTATTACTGTTAATATCAGTAATGGTCTCCCGAAGCTGCAATACAGGTGGTTTACCTTACAGCGTGTGTGTCTGTATGATCCACCCATGAATTGGTCTCGTTATTTCGTTTCTAGTTTCTTCTATAATTTGAGACCGTGAGATATTATTCTTTCTTTTACATAAGCGCTTTTATCTATTGTTAGGTGCATCATATTTTACATACTTTACTATGGTCTATAGAATACACACACACACACACACACACACACACACACACACACACACACACACACACACACACACA